TTATCTCTCTTACACATATTTAGCAAGTAGCAAGAGATCATTCTTTAAAATCTAGTAAATTACCTCCTCCACTGGTTCAGTATATTTGGATATCAAACATATAGCTGTATGTTTATCTATCTATCTATCTGTCTATCTATATACCTAAATAGTATCTGTTATCCTGGTCTCACAGGGTTGAAATTGACATTGGAAGGGAACACTTTTTTGAAGACATATGATGTCCTTCAAGGTCAGGGCTATATTAACTCTTTTAATGGACGTTTATAATGTTCTCTCCCACCCACGTGGCCCAATCTTCTGACACACTGAGTTAAAATTACGATCTAGTCTTTTTATTGGGAAATCCAATAATGGTTTAAGGCCCAGTCCAAGCCCCTCCTCTGTCAAGACCCTCTTCTGACTGGGTCCAGAAGCAGACTTCCTCACTGTTTCCTGTGTCATTTTCTCCAGACACACATGTCTCTTTGGTGAGTTTTACTTTGCTCTCCTTAACTATTGGGACTGGCTAACTGAGGATGGGGACTGTGTCTTTCATGACTGAGCTGCAAGTACTATTCATTTGTAGGTATTTACTAGGCCCTCAAATAAATATTAAGCAGTTCCTTCCTATCTTCAATTTCACTCCCAGTCTTCCAGGTTCCTATAGACAACTGTTGTCTGAATATTAAATGGGAAATTCAGATACATACAATTTATAAGTTTTAAATTGCCCAAATTCTGAGTAGCCTGACTTAAATCTCCTCCCATCCTGCTCCATCCCACCCAGGACATGAGTCAGTCCTTTGTCAGTACATCCTTGCTGCTTATGCCACCTGCCCATTTGTCACTTAGTAACATCTCGGTTATCAGAATGTCCAGTATCACTGTGTTTCTGTCCAAGTAATTCTTATTTTATTTAATGAGGACTCCAGAGTGCAAGAGCAGAGGTTCTGACAATTTGAAAAAGCCAAGGAAAAGCTATAAAGTGTTTCCTCTGTGAGAAAAGAGGAAATATTATCATAGGTATATATGTATAGGAAAAAAGAGTAGAGAGAGAGTTCAGTATTATTTGCTGTTTCATGCATACACAGGAAATCTTGAAACATCTCCTATACATAACAGGGTGCTATCCTATGTTGAATACATGCCGAATAAATGAACACATGAGGAAATGACAAAGAAAAGTTTACAAAATTACAAAAAAAATTTACAAAAGTAGTACAAAATTCTAGGACATCAGAATGAAATGGGAAGAGACAGATTGAGGAATGTGGACCATCATCTCCAATTGCACTGGGATGATATTTCTCCTTGATTAGATTTGGGAAGACATCAAATACTCTCTTTAGTAATAAAAATATCTTCTTTAATCTTTTTAACTTCTATTATTTATAATATAACCCATCCCTATGTTTTGGATTACTTTAGAATTTATTCTCAGTTTCTGACTCTAAGGTCAAATTGATTCTTTATATGTTTATAATTCATCCATGAGAATAAAGTGTGAATAAAGCATTAAATACTTATTCAAACTCGGAAAAAGAGTTACCCAAACTCTGAATTATTGGGTGGCAACTTTAGCCTCATATCTTCTGAAGTTTGGAAGTTTTTCAAGTCTTTTGTCTATCTGAAGATCAGAGTTCTTCCAGAGAAGATAATCCCAGTATTTTCTAGTTTCTTACTTCAGGTATATTCTTAGAAATATTTAATTTCCCTCATCCACATTTTATAATACAAAGAAATTGACATTTATTTAATTATCTTCTAACATTTTCTAGGGTAATGTAAAATATAGGCACATTGAAGTTCCCTGAGGAGAAAGAAACCAGTTTTATTCTGTGTGTTCTGATCCACACTCTTAGCTAGCAATGGAGTATTATGTCCATTGTGTCCCCCAAAATTTTATTAGTAGTTGTAATAAAAATGAAATTCCTCTATTCTTGCTAATCTTGTGGCTTCAGGGGATTCTCTCTCTTCCACTACTGTCATATAAAATGATTTCTACTGATGTACCCAACTGTCATAGAGTATGATTTTTTAATATTCCAGGAGAAATGAAGTAAAGGTAGAAGGGCATTAGCAGAGAGGAATTTTAAACTTATCCTTATCCATGTGTAAGGAGGGGATTTTTGATTCTCCCTAAATGTATTTTCAAAAATTCTAAATTTGGACAAAACAGGAAGTGCTTCCTTGTCAGAAAGGTTTCAGCAAACTTACTTGTGCAAAGGTGGAGCCTGTTGACAGAATTGCAGAGCTCGCAAACTTAGAGTCCAGCTCAGCTGACTGGGGAGACTAGAAGACCAGCTGGGTTCTCACTGGGCTATGGCTCCTGGAGAAATGGACAAGATCCTGGGAGCATCACTTTTAATCCTAGGCCTTCACCTTACCTGTGAGTTGTGGAGGAAAAGCCCCAGCTCATGTGATTAATATGGGGAGATGGAAAATTGAGACACAGGCAAATCTTGCAGGTAGGAGTTTTAAGAGGGAAATATAAATTTGTTGGCCTAATGACTTTTTTGTCATCTTTCCAAGCAGGGGTGAGTGGCCAACAGAAGGGAAAAAGTGACCAGCAACAAGTGAAGCAAAGTCCTCAATCTCTGACTGTCCAGGAAGGAGGGATTTTAGAGCTGAATTGTTTGTATGAGAACAGTTTATTTGACTACTTCGGATGGTATCGGCAATTCCCTGGTAAAGGCCCAGCATTATTGGTAGCCATCAGTTCAATTAGAATAAAAGAAGAATTTGGAAGATTCACAGTTTTCTTCAACAAAAGTGCTAAACATATCTCCTTGCACATCACGGACTCTCAACCTGGAGATTCAGCCACCTACTTCTGTGCAGCAAGAGCACAGTGCTCTCCAGGCACCTGCAGCCTAAACTCAAACCTGAAGCTGAGGCCCCAGCCAAGCCCTGCTGCAGGGCTTAGACTGACAGAAACACAGACTGGCTTTCACTTGCACAGATAGATGATGAAGTAAATGTATGGATTCACTAGTGCAGGTGCATGAAAGGGTAGTTGTTAAAGTAAATTTTAAAAAACTCAGTTTAATGAGTAACCAACCTGCAGAAATTTTTTCATAATAAAGTATAATATGTCATCACTATTTAATCAGTTCTAGGTCAAATGGCTCTTTATACATTGCTGGTAGAATGCAACTGGTCTGACAATATTAGAAATCTTTTGGAAGTTTTTTATAAAATGATTTATCATATGGACAGAAATTCCATTCCAATATATTCATCAACAAGAAATGATAATAATTATAACAGAAGGACTTTTGTTTAAGGTAGTCTTATCCATAATAATCCACATTCCCAAATTGGAAACAACAAAATGTTCACTAAATGGTGAATAGAGTTATGAATTATGGTTTATTCCTATAAATAAATTCTATGAATTTGTATGAAATACTACACAGCAATAAAATGGGCTAAGCTAATGATACAGGTAACACATAATAGATCTAAAAATGTGTATGCTTCCTTGAATGAGAATCATGGGCATCATAGTGAAAAAAGTAATCTCAAAGAGTAATTAAAAATAAACACAGAATGCATGTTTGACTTATGTAAAATTTTTAAATGGAAAAAAAATATATATAGGGATGTAGATAAGGGCAGGGAGCCACAGTTTGCCTGTGAGAAGGGTGTGCATGAGCAGTGTTTTTAGGCTGATGGAGCCATTCTTGGTTGTCCTGATTGTAGTGGTGTTTACAAAGCCCTATGCATGAGACAAAATTTCACAGAATTGTACATGCACACACACACACACACACACACACACACAGAGAGAGAGAGAAATAGAAATTGATTAGTCAGAACAAGTTCTGCATTTTAATGAATAATATTGTATCAATATCAATTTTCTTGTTTTGATAATGGTACATAAGGAAAATGGTGTGTAGCTATAATTAAATAATGTGTCATTATTGAAGAAAGACGAATGTACAAGACCAGTCTGCATTGTTTTTGTACCTTATGTGTGAATCTAAAAGTATTTAAAAATCCAAGGTAAGCATGTGAAACAATTAGATTCTTGTATATTTCTCTTAGGAATGTAAACTGGGCAATCATTTCAGCAGATTCTTATAAAAACAAAAATAGGAAAGATAGATCTATCATAACCCAAGGGTACCACTTCTAGTCATTTTCTCAAAGGAATGAAAACTTGTGTTCAGGAAATACTGGTTTAAGAATGTTCATAGCAGCATTCTTCATAAGAGCAATCAATAGAGAAACTGCCCACAAAGAAGAGATTAAATCAACTGTGCTGTACCCATACAATGAAATATTAATCAGGTATAAAATTGACTGAATAATTAATTATATAATTATACACAAATAAATATTGATCACATTATGCCTAGCAAAATTTCCAGTCATAAAATTGTGCAAACTATTTGATTCCATTTATGTCAATTTCTAGAATAGGCAAACCTAACCATGGAGAAACCAAGGAGAAAAGCAGTCATAATTATGGAGCAGGAGTTGTTTGGACATAAAGGATCTTAATTCAGAGAGGAAGAAAATGTTCTATTTCTTGAAAGGAGTGTGGTTTTCAAAGCTGTTTGTAGTTTTCAAGTCTCCTGTAATTTGATACTTTCCTGCCATTTATTTTATATTACAATTTATACTTCAGTAAAAAATAAAGTGTACAGATATTAATCAAATAGGGAACAAAAGCAAAGTTACAGAAGGGGAAATCCAAGGCTCATTATTTTTGAAGAAATAAAAAATAAAAAAAATATTTGGTAATGTTGATAATGGAAAACAGAAAATAGGGGCTGAATGATGGTCCCTAAACTGCCCATGTCATAATCCCCAAAGTTTGTGAATTTGTAGCCTTACATGGTGTATTAGATTCCTAGGGCTGTCATAACAAAGTGCCACAGATTGGGGGAGTCAAAACAATAGAAATTCATTGTCTTACAATGCTGGAGGCAAGACATGTGAAATAAAGTCTATGCCCCTTGAAGACTTTAGGGAAGGTCTGTCCCAACATCTCTGCTAGCTTTGGTAGTCTCAGGCTTGTAGATGCTCATGTTCTTCCTGGGTATTTTCATTCCTCTTGTGTGCGTGTCCCTGTCTCTTCACATGATATTACATTTTTTATAAAGGCACTAGTCATATTAGACTGAGGATCCAGTTTACTTCAGTATGACCTCATTGAAACTAATTATATCTGCAAAAATCTTATTTTCAAATTAAATGACATTCATTAGTAATCAAAATTAGGACTTCAACATATGGATTTGGAGGGAAACAATTCAACAGAATACCATATGGCAAAAGGGAATTTGCAGAAGTGATTAATTCAAAGATCTTGAGATGAATAAATTATCCTGGATTACCCAGTGACCCAGACTAATCACAAGGAGCCTTATAAGAGAGAGACAGATAGTAGAGTCAGAACAGCAACAACAAAAGCCCTGCAATGAATGTGGAAATGAAGACAGCCTCTAAAATTGGAATTCAAATGTTGGATTATTCCTTGATTTTAGCTTAAAGAGACTGACTTAGGATTTGTACCCTTTAGAACGCTAAGAGAATAAATTTGTGTTGTCTTTTGCCACCAAGTTGATGGCATAGCCTCATTGGAAAACTGGAAAACTAATAAAAACAGTGATATGAAATATTGAAAAGCAAATCTATCTGTAGTGGAAGTTAAAATTTTTAAGAGACATTTACAAGCAATTTGAACCAATAAAATTCAAAACTCTTAGGAAAAGAAACAACTTTGTTGAAATACATATACTACCAAATGGAACAGGAGAAGTAGTTTATAAAATTAAATTGATTTATATTTATCAAAATTATTTGATAATTAGAGACAACCCAGAGAATTTATAAGGAAAATCTAATTTCTTACCAAAATTGAAAATAAGACAATTTTTTTATATATTTGCCAACTACATAATCAAGAAAATAGCAGGAGTTAATCTTAGATAAGGAACTGTTATAAATAAATAAGAAAAATACCCAAAATAGAAAATAAATAAACAAGATTATAAAAGGCAGTTCAAAGAAAATGTAAAGAGAAATGGGATTGTGACATATAAAACATTCACTTACACCGTTATTACAGAAAATTAAGGTGAAAGAAAAGTAATTACTATGTTATTTGTATCAGATAAACAAAATCAAAGTCTAATCAAGTTGTCAAGCATATGGGAAGATGGGGCCGTTTTACTTTTCCAGAGGAGAAAAACAACCACATGGAGAACAGTTTATGCAGCCACTTAGGAAAACAATTAGCCTAAATAGTTAAAAGATATAAATCTAAAAATCCATCCATTTCAATTCCTGATATCTAAATTAAAGAAATTCATGTATGTGAACAGGAGACATTTACAAGGATGTAGCAGTATTTAAAAAATAACAGTAAAAATCCATCAATAATGGCATGGACAAGGGTAGTTTACTCATACAATGCAAATACACAGCTATTTCAAGCAAATAAGTGGTCTCACACATATTTCCATAAGATGAATCTTAAAAACATGGTGTTGAATATAAAAAGCAAATGTCAGAATGTTATATAGTGCATAGAACTATTTAGGAGAAACCTCAAAATACAAACACAACACAAGGTATTGTTTAATGATAAATGGCTGTAAGGGTAAAATGTGAAAGGACCTGTAGGGAACCTTCCCAGTCTTGACTACTTCTTTGGAAGAGAAGAAGGAAAAGCAGACACTCCTTTAGCTCTGTCTGTAACGCTTAAAAAAATGAAGAAAAAGAAAACATAAGAAAATTTACTATGTGTTTACTTATATTCCTGGATAAAAGGAGTTCATTACATAATTTTCTATACTTTTGCTTGTGGGACTTATGTAATAATTTTTTTAAAAAAAATTAAAACAGCTAAAATTTCTATGATCTCCATCTGCCCACCAAATGCAGACTGGAATCCTTATTAATATCTTTTTGCAAGATATATTCTCCTTAGGCTACATACATATCAACAATTTTCCTTTGATAAAAAATTTTAATGAGTTTATGAATTAAAAGATACCCAGCTGGTGGGGTGGAGTGCCCCTGTAGTTCCAGCCACTCTGGGGGCCGAGCCAGGAAGATCTCAGGTCCAGGGCTCCAAGGCCAGCCAGATCAACAAAGTGAAAGCCTGTCTTAAAATAAAACAAAACAAAATGTGAAGACTGGCTCACCTGAAACACACAAGCCAGAAGCTCCCTGCCCAGTCCACAGTGCACAGTTTTTCAATACACAGAAAGAGAAAATGAAAAAGAAATCAACTGGTTCTTACCAATAGGAGATGTGCCATAGACATTGTATGTGAACTTCCTTTACTCACAGTTTGTTTTACCATCTTTAGTAGGAATTTTAAAAGTTGGATAATGAATTTGGAATAATTTTTACATATGATTGGAGTAGCTTTCATTGGTTTGAAATATATAAGAATAAAATAGCATGCAATGCTTAGGTTGAAATTTGTGATCAGCATTAGAGCTGAGACATCATCAATGTAAAAGGTGGGGAGATTTGAGAAGATCTCAGAACCTGATTCTGTACCTTCAAGTGGTATGTGGGTTTGGAAATTTTGTAAAGGTACCAGGGAGAGGCTGAGGACATATTTCCATAGAATAACTCAAGTGTTTTCATTTGGGTTTCTTTACGGGGCAGACAAACAAAAGTATGTTTTTGGAATTTAGGAGTTAATAGAAACTTCTTCTCCAGATAAATTTTCAGCATAAAGTGGAGGAGAATCTTAATTCAATTTAATGTCAAAAGAAGGAAATATTTTTGTTACATTTATACAATTATCAGTTTTGAATGTTTCACAGAAGAAATGGCATTTGGGGAGAGATTTTGTAGTCCTGAAAACTCTAACAAGAGTACAGGATTGTTGCAGACCACAGACAGACATGCACTTGGAAATAACATGGCTGCATGTTGGGACTCAAGGGTCCACCACTCTCCCTTCCCTCTTCCTTCCAGGACTTCTAATTAAACTAAGCACAGAGTTACATTATAAATAATATGATGGTACTTCTGCTGCCATTGTCACTTCTGTCACTGGAGAGATTTCAGAACTCAGGAACCTGTTTGGATCTCCTTTGTCTGAGCAGATGCTGTGCCTCTGTGAAGGTTTCAGTCCCATGGTTTGGGTGAGTGGGAAGGGCAGGCAGTGAAGGATTCTATAAGGAAACCAAGAAGTGGTGAGCATGTTTCACTGCAGGGTCTGACGGGAGGCAAGGGATCAATCAAAACCTGAGAGAATACTTGCAGTCACAGTCAGAATTTATATTTTGTTTCAGACAAGCCACTGAGATCTCAGGTTAATTAACTGAAGTTGAAGATTTTTAAATGATCACTCTTCTTCAAATGCTTCCTTAAACCTTAAGCTTAATCCTTTACCAAATGTTATCTACCAATTACATCACAACAAAGGGCAAAACAGTGTCAAGAATGGGACAAACTTTGCAACTGAGTCACAGTTGTGTCACAGGAAGACCTGGCATGCTAATCAGGACACATCCAAACAAGACCCTCCTGGAAACCACATTTCAGAAATAGTTGCCACTTGCTTCTGAGACCCTGCGCCTGCAACTGCCAGCAGCACAGAGCAGGAACAGATCAACAGAGGGTAATTCTGCAGTCATGCTGCTCTCCTGGCTTTGGTGGGCATCCAGGTGTCCACTTGCTTCAGGACAAATGCTATAAAATTGCAAATCAGCTGCCTATCAGCACCTAGAGAGAAATGGGACAGAGGAGTAGAGCTCAATTTATTATAAATGCTTCCCTGCACCACGAACTGTTCTGATATTTAAACCAGTATCAAGGAACTGGAGCTTTTTTAGAGAACATGTCTGTAACTTTCTTCTGTATTGGCCTGTTGGTCTCTTTATATTCATTCACCCAGCAAAGCAATGGGACCAAAAGGAAGATCAACAGCTATGTTCCACACCATCATATAGCAGCATGCAGAAATTCAGTCACCAAGTTCTGTGGTATTGACAGGCCCCTAAGTCATTGCAGTCAATCAGCACATTCTGCAGGAGTAGATTATAGCCTTGTGTCACAGAACGACCTGGCATGCTAATGAGGACACTATTTTACAAATAAAAACAGAGAGAAAAATATACAAAATTTAACAAGTGAGGGTGAATAACTCAGATCAATGGGATAGAAAATGTGATATAAATATCTAATAAGTACAATGGCTTTTGTGGAAATAAGCACGATTAAACATCCTCTTTTAGACATAGCAAATAAAATGCAACATCACATTTTGAAAAAATAATAATTCATTCCTGTTATATGTTTACAAAACATAATCAATTGAATAGCTGCTAAACTCAGAAGGACTGACCTTTATCATTGACTTAGCTGTATCTTTATTAATTGTAGAATTTAAATAGTCTCCAGAACTCAGTAAAGAAGAAGTGATTCTATAATTATTTTGATGAATATTGCCTTTCATGGAGGAAGACAAAGGCCCAAAAAGATTTTCTTCTTTTAAATTTCATAGGTTCTGAACAGAGAAAAGTAAATATGTGTTAAATTAGTGACCCATGAATAGACTCATAATAAATTCTACTTTCAGTGGATACTCCAAATTATTCCACTGAATAACACCAATGTGTGTAAACCTGTTCCATCTGCAGCTCCCTCAGCTCTAACCCTCAACACTAATGACTTTTCTCATGCTCCCTGTGTAGCTTCTGTCTAACTTAGTTACCAGGGAAAGAGAAGCAGGCAAAGTAACAGTTTGGGGTGAACCACACTTTTTCTCTCATCTGTGCACAGACCTTGTGGTCTATAAACTAAGAACCCCCATTTCCTTTTGGAGGTGTAGCATGGGAACCCAGGAAGTACATATGTACACTGCCAGGCTCTCAGGCACTGAACTCTGGGTCTGAGGCAGAAATAACACTTTTGTGCAGAGGGATATGAGCCACATGCCACTCTCTCGCCTGCTGTGGGTGTCCATGGCCTTTATCTACTCCTACTCTGGTAGGTTGGGTTCAAACATGGCTAAGGATGTTAAGGAGGAAAGTACTGCACAGGGGCATATGGTGCTCCATGTGGCCTCAAGGAGGAAAAGGGAAATGGAGGAATGCAATCTATGACTCCAGTTTGTTTTGGTTTGGGGTCCTAAATTAGTCTAATGCTTATAATGATATATTCACTATACCAGAGGATTTCTGGTTTGTTCCCACAGGATTCAGTGTGGCCCAGAAAGTGATTCAAGTCCAGCCATCCACATCTGGTCAAGAGGGAGGAGCAGTCACCCTGGACTGTTCATATGGAACGGGTTGGAGTGCATACAATTTATTTTGGTACAAACAACTTCCCAGTGGAGAGATCATTTTCCTTATTCGTCAGAGCTCTTCTGGTTCGAATGAAATCAGAGGTCACTATTCTGTCCAGTTCAGGAAAGCAGCTAAATCCATTAGCCTTATCATTTTACCCTTACAACGGGAAGACTCAGCAAAGTATTTCTGTGCTCTGAGGGAACTCACAGTGTTTGAATTGATAGTAAAAGCTGAACAAAAACTCAGGAGCTGCATAAGGAGATGGATCCCTGCTGCAGAAGCCAGCTGAGATGCACCTGCAGAGCCCAGACAAGAAGGTAGTGACTGTGGCTGCCTACT